AACAGCAAATCCCAGTGAAATAATTGTGTAGACGTAAGCTTTTTTCAATTTGGTACTGACAACATTAAACTTGTTTAAAAAAAAACAAAGTTAAAAGTTTTGTACAGCTTCATGAAGTACGAGAAAAGGCATCACGATTTAGTGCAACTTTTTTCTGCACACCTGTTATTTGTACAAGCAGTCCAGGATTATGACGGTCAGCTATATATTTATGTTCTAGATCTATTGAAAATTCTCGATGTCAAATTGATAGCTTTTGGTAACTATGACTAGTATTGAATTAGTGAGAATAATTGTGTTCCTTTTGTCTCAATAGTGATAAAGTATAAATCGAATCTTTTGCGATGATCTATCATATCCTATTGACAACAATTGGTTTATGTCTGAAAGACATTTTATAGTTAAATAGGTAAAAGCAGCACACAAGATTTCTTTATGAATCTTCAAGGAACTTTTTCGAGTAAGCTTCTCTACGAATCCAAACACTTTACGAGTATATTAGTCCTTTGAAGCCATACAAATGAACACTAGAATTTTTGAAACTCAAGCCCGTTTATAAAACCTGTTTCAGACTCAAATCCGATAGATTAAAATTTTTCGAACTCTGAACCCAAGCCCATACTTTACTCCTAAGTTCAACGAACTTTTTAGTTTGAGTATAATTCAGAAGATACGAGATACTTTTATTAATCATTTGTACTCTGATACTAACACATTCTACACATTTCTCACACAATTTTAATGATGATCTGCTAAAAAGCAAATCATAATTGACTGTTACTTTTAGAGTACAATCGGTTGGCCTGGGCCTAAGCTCGATGAGATTTGGGACTAACGCGACGACGGGCTCTGTGTCAGACGAATAAACGCATACTTTAGATTTATCATACGAAAAAATACAGCGTGTTTTAAATCTTGCGGATCAACAAAATTGATTTATATGCAAACGAGGACTAATCCATAATTAAATGAGTCTAGATGAACGTTGATTTCAAATAACATACTATTAAATGACATATTCTCTTCTAGTAATAAAAAAATAAATAAATATGAGAATGTGTTGATAAATTTTTCTCAATCGATCAACATGATATTTTATTGAAAAAAGAAAACTAAAACACTTTATTGTATAAGCACATATATTCATTTGATTACAGGAAAATCGTATTTAGCTATCATGTATTTGTTTTTTAGCACTTCTTATGACTTCGCTAGGTCTTTGAAGAATTTTATCAACTATTTTTTTACAATTATTCCAAGTTAATTTTTGTCAGTTTTAGTTCAATCTACTCATGTATATGATGTACGATCAGTTTTGCCTGAAAGATTCCAGAGCATGGTAGAAAGTTGGAGATAGAGATACAGCATTTGAATTCAATGACTGAATCTTCCTGTTTCCAATTGGAAGTGGTCGTCATCGAGTAGAATTGACTGTTAGACACGATCATCATAATATTGCTTGGAAGTTTCTACTATTTTCTGCAGTTTTCTGACCGGAGTACCACGAAGCCGGATACTAAAATCATTGATCTGGATAATTGCGAACAGCTTCAAACTTGACACTTATTCTTCTCGTACTGTGTTCTTTCATATTTCACATACATTTTCAATGTGTCATATATCAGGAAATTTGCCATTAAAATCTTTAGACAGATATCAATCATTAAATAATTTATGAATAATTCATATTATAATCTTTTTTATTTGTTTTAGAATTTTTTTCACTTTCAAATATGATATTTTTCACGAGATACGTTTTAAATACCTTTACAGACAACTTCTTTCATAAATCTAGTGTTTGCAATGTCATCTATATCGATTCATTTTTGTTTGATTATGACAAGAGAAGATGTCATTCAGTAGTAATATATATTATTCGAAAGACCAATATGAGTACTCAAAGCTCATCTAGTTATAGTTTGTTATGGATAAATCCCTGTTTGCATATCAACTAATTTTATCAGGCCTTAAAACTTATCTGGCTGTGCGTGGATGCTGTTCTTCTCTTCAACTACATCCAGTGATAACTACGAGCATTGTTTTTGCTATCAAGTTTTCTGAGCGTTATCTTGAACGTTCAAATGAAGGCTTATCAAATAATGAAGAGACCGAAATTCTTGTCAGTAGACGAAATATTCTTACTGTCACCAAAAGACATGCAAAGAATCAAATGAGTTTTAATCATCTGTGTCTTTTACGAGAATTAAAACATTTTGATGTTTGAAAGTCATTTTCGATTGTTAGTTAGCATAATATATATTTGAGTGTCTTTTGAAGTTTTTCTTTTCAATTTTACTATTCATAGATGTGATCATTATAAACGGCTTTTGAAACTGGTTGTATTGTAGTTTCAAGTCAAAGCATTAGAAAATTTCATCGAAATTGTTTGTGCTTGCTGCTGATCTGAAGCGCGTACAATTCCCATCCATATTTGATTATCAGAAGTTAAAAGACAGTGACACATGCATGATTATGATCTGTGCTTATTTGATCTTCCAAAAATGTCTTGCAAAAGAAGTATGACTGTCATTTGACAAAATATATATATATTACTTGTTCATCTCATCTAGTCACGCTCTATCATGGGGTAAGCGGGCGAGTGAATGAAGAGAAGACGCTCATCCATTGATGAATGAATCGCTCTTTTTTTGACAAATCAAACAATGTTGTTTCTACACTATTTCAATCTATTGTTTAAGATAGATAAATGTGTTCTATGCATCGCATGACTCATTCGCCAAGGCCAAACAAAGATTGACTAATGCGCATGTTGTATTTGCGTCGTTTTCATGCAATGACGATGTGTTTGCACACGATATCTTTGAGTAACTGCTCTCACTTGAGCAATAAAAGTTCGATAAGCAATCGACGAATGGCGTACTTCCTTGACTGTCAACATTGATATTTTTTTTCTTACTTGCAAAAAAAGACATAGCACAAAACAAATATTCAGATGAAAGGAAGTTGCATTACATTTTAGTGCCATTGAGAAAGCACATTTTTAGAGCATTTCTGTACAAAGTAACGAACAAAAATACTAATGAAAGACTTTATCACAACAGCAAACATTCTCAATATTTCGATTGCCACATTCTGAAGGACTATTTACACGAGATAGAATGGAAGCTGCTTCTCTTTAAGCCGGTTTTAACAATTATATTTCCAATCGTTGAATAGCCAAATTATAGAAATATGAACAGAGAAAGCAAAGGAATAATGGATAGTTGCTTATCGTTATTTGTCGAATGAGATCATTCCCATCACTTGAAGGACTCGTGTGTTGACAAAATTATTGAGTTCGAATAATTATCCTTTTGAACTTCTCACATTCAATCCCTATGTAAAAAAAAAGGCTTTTATCAACACAGACAGAAGTCGCACACTACCTGAAGTTCGCTGAACCTTCTATTTCATCCTTGCTAATGAATGTTCGTCACAATGGATGGTACTTAATGTAAGGTGTTTCGAAAGTTCCCATGGGAAAAAACTCAAATAGCTGTTGAACAGTTCCAATGATATATATGAGCGTTTTTAGCATTTAAAATGATGATACATCAAGTGAGAAACAGTCTTCTCTCGGCTGTTCTCGACTTGCCATATATCGTCTTTTTCTGATGACAAGACACTCTTGGCGTGTAGGATGATGAAAAACAGAGAAAAAGTACACAACGAACGAAAATCTCTTTTAGATAGTTATGAAACATGTAATATAATTGTTTTTTTGATCAAGCTCACAGGCGAATGATACATTGACTGATCCTAATGATGTTTATGCCATATCACTTAAGTTTGATATATTCAGGAGTGCTTCATGTGACATGATCTTTCTATGACATTCACTTTTTTATGTAAAGTTCGATCAAAGTCCAATGATGATAAGTATTTAGTTTCAGTCTCGATCTTTTACAAAAACAAACAGTTTAAATAGAAAACTAAATCACAAGGAGCATAAGTCTATCCTTTATCGAGTTGCATTTCTTTTAGTGAATGTGGCCTCCGCCCCCCCTCCCGGTCGTCTCGAATTAGACTGGACCGACATTTTCATTTCAATATCACAAGATAAAAAACTTTCTGCAGATTTCATTGATATATTTTTTAAACTCAACATTTGTCTTGTTGTTTTCTTTGACAATCGATGGTATTTGATACCACAAGAATATTACTTGTTTAACTAGTCAATTTCTCGATCAACGGAATCGTAGTTTTCATTGATAACTTTTTCAAAATTAGAGCTAACGAAAATTATTCTTTTCATAGAAACAGACGGAGAATTTCAAATTCGAATAATGCTCCATCTTATAAGGTGTAGGCTATGTTTCTTATCGAATTATTGAGTTGACATGTTTTCTTTGGCATGAAGAAATCAAAACTTGTAATTTAACATACTTTCTAGGCAGATTAAAAATCGTTACGTTTTACTGAATAGTTTGGTTTTGTTTCGAGAAAAAAAAAACACGTTTTTTTAAGTTGTCATGCTGGGTTTGAAAATCATATATGTAATTATTTAATTAATACAAATTGCATTTTTTTTTGTTTTGATAAAATGTTCAGCAAAGTACGCTTTTGCGACATCCAATATTTTTAAAACTACAAAATACGCCAAATGCACTTGTTTTGAAAAATAATATATCAATACATTCCACAGACAATTCTCTCTCTTGTAACATCAGAACGAAATTTACTAATTTAGTCTAGCTTGGCAAAAAGCAGCCTATCAAAAGTCAGTAATTTTATCTGACTCATTCGTTATATAAAGTTACGTATCATACAATAAAATGACCTGGACTATGTTTATGATACATGATCACAAAGTAAAAGAATGTGCGAGAATAGGCTTTATCTTCAAGTGCTCGAATACTATCTATTATTTTTTATATAAAACTACTGACAGAAGTGCAGAATTTTTATTCTTATTCTAATAAAACAACGATCATAATTATTAATCAAAACGAGCAATAAGTGTTTGTCAAGTGAATGTGAGACACGTACATACTAGCAAAATGACACGAAATTATCATCGAATACAAGAGACAAGTGGTAAACGACAATCAAATGTTCTACCCGTTTTCACCGTTGTACAACAACAAAATGGTCGTCGTATGAGTACATTCATCAATTCTCAACGTCGATTATCTCTCGTGTCGCAGCTGTCTTTGCCACATGGTGCTGAATATCGTCCACAAAAACGATTACCACCCAATGGCCTCGAATCACAGCCAAACATCCTACCGATGAATTTAACAACAATGATTAAAGATAATACTAAACCATTTCATGCTAAATCAACTAAAAAATCAAAGCCATCTCAACATCGACTCTTATCTCATCTATGTTGTGTTGCTGATAATGGGCGACAATATGGTGATGATATGCACACGTTTGACGTCTGAAGTGATCGCTTTCAGATCATATCACAATCGTCCAAAGATGAAACTCACAAGGAGGTCACCATTGGAACTCAGCATTATTTTGGCAATGTTTTGACAATTTTCGTTCTTAAATAATTCCGCCAAAGAGTGAACGTTTCGACATGCAGATTAATATTCCTATTATTGACCTGCAATTCAAATAAAACTTTGAACACATATCTCCTTTATATATCATGTATTCATTTGTACATAAAGCAAAGTGCAAATAATATACGCAGAAGAAAAAAACGAATTTGTATTTGTCTGAATACAAAAGCTTAACAAATTCAATGACTTTCATCTGACTACTGCTAATGATAGTTGCATTAGTAATGTTTTGTGATAAATTCAATCTCGACTTCTTTGTTCAATGTAACGAAGATAATTGAAATAGTACTAAGAATTGAAAGAGCCGACACACGAATAGAAAACCATTCTCATTTCAACTTGAAAAGTTAGCATAATTTGTCGAGAACAAAACAAAGGACAACTGAAATAATTGCTTTTAAAAATATCACACAAATATAGATGGCAAAGAGTTCCGCTTCACTTTTTCTTACTTTTTAGCATACTCTTTATGTGCTACAGCTAAAAGTTAGGAGCAATAGATGCAGAAAGATAAACATTTTAGTACATAGTCATGAAACAGCATTACACACACAACATTTTGCAATGTAGAATATTGGATCATGTTCAATTTTTATTTTTATTTATGCTTTTCTGACGATATAACAATCTACTTTCAATCCTCTCAGGAGTGCAAGACATGAACAGCACATGTATCGCACATCGTGTATAAAACATATCGACCGTAGAAATGTGCTATAGAAGAAACGATAATGGCGTTGTCTCCCTACACAAGTATCACTAGTGATCTTTACAGTTCTCTTTCAATGATCTGATTGTGCTGGAAGAAATTTCTTTTTTGGACACTCTGTTAGTCAATTGTTTGAACACTGAGCTCAAAGGCGAAGATAAGCAAGAAGTTTGTGTTCAAGCTGAATAATTTATTCTCCATTTAGGTGCAAGTTAATGCTCGATACATGGTGATCAAGAATCTGAAGTGAAAATATCAATTCATACGCTTTCCTAGTCTCAATTCTGCTCATTCCTTAAGAAGTCCTGGATCTCAAGGATCTAGTGAAGTTTTCCCGAAAATTCTGCCTCAATTCCTGATAGTTTCTATTCTCAGGATTTCTCACAGTTAGACAGGGTCTTGATTAGGACTTCTTCAGGTTCCTACCCAGATTTTTTTTCTAAATTATGAATGTCGGGTCCTGCAAGAATTCAATCTGAGTCCTTTTCATAATTCTTACAGGAATAACGGAGAGGATTCTCACAAGATTTCATCAATCTGATCTGCATCCTGACGCAAGTATTCAGCCGACTACTATTGTTAAATCACACGAGAACCTTAGCAAGAACTCAGGAGGAGGATGTATCGTTGGCTGTGACAGTAAGTTGACTTAAGGTGAACCTGAATTCACACCCACAGTCGTCTCTTGTTTCTTGAATAATTACCTGTTCAAAAACAAGTCATAAACTGCTAAGGATCCTGATTAAATTTTGTGTCAAATCCTGCTAGGATCTTGAAATTTCGTGCTACACGCTTCTTTCAGGAATAAATGGCTTCCTCAGGATAAAAGAGCAAATCCTTGAAGGATCCTAATTGGATTCCTTAAGAAACCAGCACGGAAAAATCAAGGATTTTTCCAAGGGTTATATATTAGATAATGAGTAGGTGAACAGGAATCTCCCACCCACAACCATACCACACGTGGAGATTTTAAATTACTTCAGAAGACCTCAGACTGATGTCTGTACTGTTTTATCCTCGGTTTTAATCAGTTATAGTCTTTTTTAATGTGTTTTCACAGATATTATTTTACATCAGTAGAATAGAATTAACTCCAAGAAACAACTTTTACTTTAGGGTATGGGCGTGAGTACGTCAAAAGAAAGAATACCCATATCCACATCCACACCCCATCGAAACACACACCCACCACCCCTTACCCCACACTCACAGTGTGCGCCAATTAATTTCCACTCTTCGCCCCTTCTTGTTTTTATTCATTAGGATTATTACAATGTGTTTGCTTTTCGATAATCGGTTTAAAGTGAGAAAGTACAGATATCACCGCGTCGCATGCTACACTAATCATAAATAACAACTAAAGGTCGCAGAAGTAAAAATACATCAGAAAAAAATATGGTAAACTTTTTCACTGCACAGTAACCTAAAATTTACCATATGGAAGAAAAAAATGAGTATCTCCACCATATTGAGACCAAATGAATTGATTTCTTTACCACTGATAAAGGAGAATTCGTAGTTCATATTAATAGGAAAACTTCGACATAATCTATTTTGAAGTACCACTGTTGGCATCAATAATAAATTTTAATCTTACATGTGTTCTAAACAAAACGACGATATCATCATGGCTAAAACAAGCAGCATAACTAATTTTTTTCGATGAGTTCTCTAAATTATTCTTGCTTGAGCTCATATTTATACCATAGATACTTTCTTTGCTACTCAGTGTATTCTGAAAGTTTCAGCCAAAATTCATTGAGAAGATCGGAATATGTGTCTCACGTTCTATTGTGGTACGAGAGTCTTTTTTGTTGAAGTCACTGCTGACATCTGAAACCGGATTTTCTAAACCTTTTCCCTATCAACATAAATTATGAATGGTCCTTTACACTGGGCGAAACTATCAGTCCATTTTATCAAAAGACGACGAAGATATTCAAAAAGGACTTTTTTGGTATAGTTACTTTTTGGGTTACTGTGTAATAAAATCAGATACCATATTTGTTTCTGATGTATTTTTTCTTCTCTGAGCTTAAGTTGCTGTTTTTGATTAATATGCCATGCTATGCAATGAGATCTGTACTTTCTCACTGTATACTGATTATCGAAAAACAAACACATTTTAATAGTCCTAATGAAAAAAAACGAAGAAGGAGAAGAATCAATTAGCGTGCATTATAATTTTTCATCCTAATCACAGAAATTCTACTGTTGTCTTCAAGAACAAAGTCGTGAAACTAAGATGTTAAGATTGTTTTGACTTTATTGAATTCCGTCAGAATATACAAGATCCGCTTTTTTTCTTTTAGAGGATTTCAATTTCTTGTCTCTAAGCATTAGGAAGTAGTAATGCTTCTTTTTCAATGCATTTTTTATCCATGAATTATCATATGCTGATGATCCGTGTTAACTTTCTCAGATTGTTCAAGGCCACTGAAAGTCTTTTTGTATTCTGGTGCGATCCCGTAGATTTCTTGAAGTGTTTATGGTCTCAAGAGAATTCCATAATATTTGGAATTCAGCAGAGTCGATCAAAATTTTCTATCTATTTATTACTTTTTTGTAAACCAAAACTTATATTATATAGTGTTGAAAGTTGATCTAAAATAACGACTTTACAATCGTATGTACCTTTATCCATATAATCCATAGCTATGACCGGAGAGTATTAGATAATACGAACAATTAGTTTCAAGCACACAGATGTCCACAGAAACATTTTTGGTTTTCATCAGTTAAACTGATGTAAAAAGATTAAAAAAAAACCATATGTTTTAGCGAAAAAGATCAGCAATGAGAATATAATAAATTCTATTACCGACCGTTTTTTGAAGCATTTTAAGCCTATATTTTAACGAAAAAGAGGTTGCTTTTTTCATCAGATAAAACGAATTAATTGCTATTTAATAAAATCTAGAATGATGACCTTATCATACAGACACTCTTGTGACCGGTGTTTTTCCATTAGTTTTTTCGTCTGCTCTCTCGTTATGTATTTACGATTTCTTGATTTTTTTCTTTTTTGTGAAGTGGTTATATCACTTTCGTATTCAAAACTTTTTATTCGCGATATTTCGAAGTCTAGTGTAATCTGCTATCGTTACCGACAATTTCAGCATAGATTCATCGAAAAAACAAGCATTTTTGTTGCTCTAAATCTTCACATAGATAGAAGTCTCATTAAATCTATCTTATTATGAAGAAAACTCTCAATGAATCTTTCTTACAGTAATAAATTTAGAAATATTTAGTCTTTTATTTCTAAAAACTGCCTAGACAAAAGAAATTTTCATATCATTTTCATATACAGAGGATTTCTGTTATTCATCTTCACAGACAAAAAACGGTAACTTCCATTTTCGCCGATTCTACTTTCACCGAACTCCATTTTCACCGATTCCAATATCGCCGACTCATTTTTTTGACCGAAAATTACCAAGTCAAATATAAATCATTCTATATTAAGAGTTTTTCCAATTTAATAGGTTTATTAACAAACTCATTAATTATCAACTGAGCTGGTAACCATCTGAGTTGGTAACTATCTGACTTGGTGACTAAGTCGGTTAAAAAGAGTGTGGGTGTCGGGTGTGGGTTTGGGTATCGGATTATACGAGTACCCACATATTCATACCCACATCCTATATTGCGTAAAAATTAAGACAGATGAAACCTTCATCTGGTGGCATCTATTTTTAACCGACTTAGTCACCAACTCAGATGGTTACCAACTCAGATGTTTACCAAGTCAAATGATTACCAACTCAGATTTTTATCAAGTCAGATGGTTACCAGCTCAGTTGATAATTAATGAGTTTGTTAATAAACCTATTAAATTGGAAAAAACTCTTACTATAGAATGATTCATATTTGACTTGGTAATTTTCGGTCAAAAAAATTAGCCGGCGATATTGGAATCGGCGAAAATGGAATAATTCCAAAAAACATACATGCAACCTGAAACCTTTAGAATAAACTAGTTCCAATTAGAGGTTGTTGGTAAAAATTTAGAAATTGATGTAAAAAGAGCATCTACTATGATTCAGTAGGATCTAGCGAATAAATTTCAAATCGTTTAGGAACTATTTATTTTTGCATAGATTGGATATACTAGAGTGATAGAAACAAAAAGCAAAAGAGCCATTAGTTTGGTCGAAGTCTTTTTAGAAAGAGGACAGTTATTCTTAAATGAAAAAAGATGCAATACACACACAATCGTCATGAATTTACTTATAGTACGTGTGATCTGGTGAAAAAAAGCATAGCTGGAATTGCCAATCAATGTCGAAATATTTTCCACCAATGCACTTTGGTGAGACTGATTTTTAAGAGCCCATTTTTATAATAAATAAAGAAACAAACTAACATTGAACATTTATGGTATTAATTTCTTCTGATGAATGTGGTAACCGTTTAAGGGAATCCAACGAGTTAAGGGAAATACNACCAATGAGTTCCAGTTTTAGTAAACGATGGAACATCCATACTTTACAGACTCCGAATCCTATTGGTCCGCCATGAGAGCTATACCGTGACCTCTATTCATTTTACACTGTTTTCCTTAACTCGTTGGATTCCCTTAAACGGTTACCACAGATGCCTCATAAAAAGTAGAAAGTGCATTTCGACATTGATTCGATGACTCATCTGGATGTGTACATAGACTATTAGTCATAAAAGTCACACAGAACGAAAACAGTAAAAAAAACGTTTTATTGTTCGGTTTCTATTGACGCTTGATAAAGTTTGAATAATTTTTGTTCTTGTGTCTCTTTGTAATTCATTGTTTGATTCCTTTTATTTGACGAACAAAGTTTTTCAATATTTAAAAATATTGTTTAAGTTTATGATAAATATAAACAATATGTTTTTTCTCCACCTCTTCACTGGCGGACTATTACTCATAGAATGTTACGAACGTCATCACATTATGCTATCAGCAAAAATGCCACGTTGTCGTTCTGCTTTTTCCATACGTCATTGTAACACTTGAGGTTTATACCCATTCTCTTTTGTTCTTGCATCATTCTATAGTAATAACTAGCATCTTGTAATATAAATAGTCAATGCTTCTTTTGGTTTAGTTTTTTTTACTTACTAACTGCATTCACCTGATATTTTTTATCGTTTACTGTCTTTAGCTTTATCTTCCATCAACAACAGTTCATTTTCGCTCCATATTTATCGACCGACATAATGCAAGGTGCTATAGACATGATTAGACATCTCGTTCACACTCCATTACGAAATTTGCCTCTAAAAATTTTTACTATCCAGCAACTGCTGACTAATTCATTAGTTGATAAAACACACTGTACTTTACTCATGGCTAAACCATATGAAATTATCAATGTTACTAGCATTGATACTCAAGTGGAAACTACACAACCTGATAAACCTAATAGTTGATTGAACAAATATTGCTGATACATTATATGTATTGTTCAGGACTAAACAAACAGATTTTATCTTTATATACATTATCGCAATGTATCATACAATACTGGGTATGCATCCGATCATATTATTTATATTCATTATTTGTTTTCTATTAGTTCTGGTCCAAAACTTTTGATTATATATCATATTTATGTTCATATTTCAAACAAATCAAAAACTACAAACAACTTCGTCCTACGTATTTTTTTAATCACGATTGCATCTGTCAAATTTTGTTTTTACTATTATCTCCAGCAAGAAAATATATTTATTGCGTTATAATAAAAGAAAATTATACGCTAGTACTTGGCTAAAGAATAGAAGAAAATCACATTTTTAATTATGAATAAGTTTTATAAGTTTAGTAGCATATTTATGATCAAGTGAATGCCAACAAGATACTTGTACGTCTGCTTTCATGTGTTTGTCATCCATTATACCAGCTAATGGTGTTAAACCAATATCAATTAAAACTCGAAAGAATACTTGAGCAAGAATTTATTGATAAGCTATTAATGTTCAGAAATTTTGATAAAAAATAATTTTTCTCTCAATAAAATTGTCTTATATCATGATTAAAATTTGTTTTCGGCATAAAACTGATTTTGCATAACAGTTGATTTATGCTGAACATCTTGATATAATTTACTTTAATCATTAGGATTATATAAGTTGCTAATTCCTAATTGTTTAGCACGGCCTACATCAACAAATTTTTCATATTCACAATAAACTTCCATTGCTAAATTATGTGACTGTTCAGTAGCATGAAATACTAATGAATCAATATAAACAGTTTGTAATAATGTTGCCAATGATTGACGAACTTGATCTTTTAATGGTAAACGTGGAGTATATATATAGTAAGGGTTGAGATTGATTGTGTCCATCATTACTTGTGAATTTTGTTTGAATACGTAACTCTTTACGAGATATATTGTGTTTTGTTCAAAGTTCTATAAGTGCTTGACCAACAAAATGTTCACTAGAAAAATAAATATTCAAATCGAAATTTAAAAAAATTATCTACGGATAATGTTTTAGCTGACATGCTTTATCAATACCACGAATAGGAATACAACCGTGGCGATCATTCATCGGTATACCGTTACCATTTCACCGGTTCGGACCGATAACCATATCTACCGTTACCGTAGTTGGAACGATGACCGTACCTACGGCTATCGTCACCGTTGCATCCCTAACCACGAAATTCATTAAGTATTACTTTAATCATAACTTGTGTTATTGGTTGTTTTTTCTAAGCTGTACCATAAATTAAACGAGACATTCGTTGTGACTTTTATAGTAGAGGTCTTTTTCGTTCTTAGTGACAAAATGAAAATATATTCTGAGAAGGACAATAAGACAATGGCTAGTTTTTACACTAACTATCTGAAACATTCATAATCAAAGGAATAGACAATTATTTGCTAGGTAGACTTGTACGAATAGTATAATGACGTTGAAAAACTAACGCTATCTGTTCGAAAACCAAGATTTTGAAAATCAAAAGAACCTTTATGTGATTCGACGTGCCTGCAATTCTTTTTTATCAGTAAAATCTTATATCAGTAAAAAAGCACAGATACTTCCAGCGAAGGGTTTTACTTATCTTTCTCCCCAGCGCTGTAACATAAAAGAGTTCAAATCCAATGCTTTTGATAAAAACGTCTAGTTCTGTTTGCTAAAACAAGAATGTTGATTTATATATTTTCTTCAAATGGAAGCAGCAAAATATCTATACATGAACACATTACCGTATGATTATGATGAATTAACATAAAGATTCTTCGAAAAATAACAGACATGTGTTATCTGTCTATGGAATAAATATCCATTCGAATCATATACATTTACTAATCCATTATTATCCATTCATATTATTTCATTTCTCAGTCGAAATATAAGACATCAAGTCAAATTCTATTTAAACTCGTTCGAATGAAAATTCTGAGTAAAATTAAAATTTAACTGTTGATATTTCAAGAGGAGTTATTTTCTGAAAATGAATTCATTCATTTGTTAGAAATGTAAAAATGAGAAGTAGAGGCATTGATAAGCATATCATTTATGATTCAATGTACAATTGGTGAAGCACAAAATACCTTCTATGAATGATAATGATGTTCAAGAGATGGTTTGAATATTAAAACAAAAGACGAAACTTTTATAAATCGAAAATTTATAGCTTGAAATTTTTCATTCGATTGAATAAAATTATGATTAACACCTAGAGTTTGATTAAATTTGTGCGATCAAATTTTGATTTATTGAAATATGCAATGAAATATTAGAATACCTTGAATAATATAAAGATCATGAATAGCATTCATGTTCAAATCGATCTAAATTATTTTTCATTAATATTCAATTACACAGAAAAACGGAAATACACAAACTTGCAAAGTCATTCTCTGTTGCTGTTCATTTTCGTTGGTTTGGAACATATTCATAAACATGAGATTTCTTGATGGAAAAGAAAGATATGAATTGTATAATGAGAAGAAGAAAATATAATAGATACAAAATAAAATTTGAAGAACGAACTCCCTAGTTTTGGTGCATGATGATTGTGTTGTGATGATAATCGAAATGTAGTTTGAAAGACACGAAGAATTTTCTAGAAACAAAAGTACTCAAAAAATATTCTTTTTGTGAAAATTTTAATCTTACTTCTCGAATGTTTTTAGATGCATTGCTTGTTGTATATGTTGATAGTGTAAATATTTTTATATCGATAATGATGTGACGACTGATGCAGAAATACAAATAAATAAAACGGGAAATAGTTTTATTTTCTGCTCATTTTTTTCTTTTTCTATATTTATTAGATTCCTATATAAATGTAAAATCTAAGATGTTCAAAAGAAATTGGAAGTCACAGAATTTTAATGATAAGGATGAATGTCTATAGAAGGAAGATTAAATATATCAATTTAATAGACAAAAAGATTCAATTTCATAAAAAAGCTCCACTCGCGATTGAGCTCATGATTTCTTTTTGGTTGTTAGTGATTGCTACTTTTTAGTAGTAGACTTGCGGTCGACACTACTGTCTATTATGATCCAGTCGTGCATTTGCACTATACCTTCGATCAATGGCTATTATTGTGCAAAATGGTCATGTTGTACTGATCAAAAACAGAAATATTTCAGTGATCACCGCACGGCGCGCACTAAAGCAGGTAATCAAAAGGCGCCTTCGGAAGTCAACTTAGGTGAATGAGTACTTATATTGGATAGCAACGACCGCGTCGTTTTCGAGCCTACTTTTGATTTTATGCATAAGGAGAAGACAGATATCCACAATTTTCTTCGGTTGTCTGTTTTTAATATCGAATGAAACAAAAACTTTCAATATTGAAATCTCTTCCTATTATCTCATATTTCCTTTTGGAAACAAAGATGCTATTCATGCATCAAGTATTCGAATAGGTAATCTCTTGCAAGTCGTCTATGGCGTCGATGTGTTTTTTGATCTGGTAATTAGCGTGAAAGAAGTGAAATCACAATGATTTTCGACTCCATAAACAAGATCTGGAACAATCGTGATCGACGGTATCGTCGCATCAAACTACGCTGTGACTCACAGCCATCGTATGGTTCATTTTTTATGGAACGATATAGATGATGGAGAAATCTTGTTGAACATCAGCAAGTCAATCGAATACAAAGAAGCTTGTACGCTTCAATTTTGGACGAATTCGCCGCTATTACAGATTTTATGAAATTCTATTGAAAATCTTTGTTTTTTCATTTCGATCTTTGAAGCTGAAATAGTTCTCCTTTAGATTTACAATTAAAAACATTAAAGAAAAGTAATACGAAACACGAAAGAATGCTTTTCTTTTGCTGTGAATTATTTTAGTGTACTGTATATCGCTTTTACGACTATCACTAAGAATTGTGAGAAGCTCAAAAGCAGTTACCAGATTCTGAGAATTCTGGTAATTGGGGCAAAGCATTACTGATACCGAAATATCGGCTAAACACATTTTCGAAATCTAGCATGAACATATAAGTCAGCTCGAAAAGGGTGCGGATGTCGTTGTGTGTAGAGCGTACAATGCTGGTGTTGGTGGCTATGGGCTTTAGATGTGAATGTGAATGTGTGTGTTCTTTTCGCGTTGACACCGACATTTACCCAGACATTCACATCGACACCCAAACCCACCCATACTCCATGCTATCTAAAATATGCGTGCTTTTAACTTTTTCGCTATGAACCAAGTAGAATGATTCAGCACAAATACATCTCTTCTTGTGGTCTGCAGAGTTTCAAACAATATTTCGTTAGTTTTTCTTCTCTAGACATTGCGGACGAGTATCGAGTTTAATGAATAGAATTATGTACGAAGTGGTGTGGCTTTAGTTGTGGGTGTAGAGTGGGTGGAAAACTGTTTCGAACGAACCCCACCGATACCTACACCCACCGACATCCATACCCACAATTTCGCATGCTTGTACACCCCTAATAATTATGCGCTTTCATAAAAAGATGGTGAATGAAAATTTTTAGTCCGAGAAATTAGAAGACAACGGTAAAATAACAGTGGGCGTACTTTCTGTGTGTATAGCTGCAAGCTATTCGATGTGAAAACGATCATTATTAATCCTGCTTTATCATAAGATTACATAAATTACCATCCAATATAACTGCTTTTTTTACGAGAAAAATCTGTGACAGTTTATTGATTATTGATGTAGCCAAATGGAAATGCATTGTATTCATTACTTTTGATTATTTACCATATAGTCTGGTTTGATACAATTGATAATTGAAATGCATAAGTGCACTATTACAATATATTGTTCAGATCGATGTTCTTTCAGTCGCTTGGATTTTAATAGTAGAACCACAAACGTACTTTTTTTCATACTTCATAGAACAGACAAGTTTGATCTGTTCATCGCTGTTCTGCATTATCAGGAATGTTCTGTGAGACAGACATTATTCGGGATGAGCGGATACGAAAATCACAAAACTTGACATTGGAGTAATAGTGGAACGTATAAAAAGACGTTGAATGTTGAAAAACTCACACGCACCCTCGAAACCACATTCATTAGAACCAGTAAGGCAAATTTGGGAATATGAGAGCATTACGAAAGGTGTGATTTGTCTGACTCTGAAGCATGAATATATCGAAATGAGCTTGATATAGAAACTTGAACACTGGTAACATAGCTACCCTCCTATGCTAGAGGAATGGAGAATCAGTACTCGATATTTTCTCTTTCACATTGCCGTGTGGCATTTTATAGTGATTGAAATCAGATATGTTATAAATATTGTAGCTCATTTGCATTATTGACAATTGAAAAATCGAGCGAGAAATAAGATTATATTCAGTGAAGGGATAGCCAAGGGTCGACACATGGATCAGTTGAGTGCTTCAAACACTTGAAAATCGTTTGGAAGGAAGGTTGTAGCTATTTACTTCTCCTCATCTATGCCTATATAAGATTCGCATTTGTCTACCGGTTGCCTACTTTTCAGAAACTTCATACATAATTTCAGAAGCTCAAAATGTGCCTACTTTTTGTAACTTTGGTTATTGTCTTAATTTTGCACACAAATGGGTCAAATATCAGAGTTAGTGACTTGGACATTGTAAAAATTCCGATCCTTCAACAGAGAAACGGTTTGGTGGGATCAAAGCCAGAACGACCTCGGTATTTTCACATGCGATACCAAGACCCAAATAAGTTTGTTCTGAATTCAGTATCTCATACCTTTACCAAAGTTCCGGGCCTCAGTTTAGCTGTTCACCATGCAGTGCCGATGGTTTACAACATCCGTTTTCAAGGATCATGCCAACTTGAGTTGACTTTCGGGTGTGCTCTGACATGAATCCTAGTCAATAATAATGTCCTTGTTTCGAACTTA